CGATGGCGAGCACGATCCAGCGGAACCCATCAGCTCCGGTCGACCAGTGCGTGAGCAGAAACCACCGGCGTGGCAAGCTGACTATGATATGGAGTACGCAGTGTATGCGCTGAGCGCCACGGAATACGTCGAGGGTTTGCCAAGGAAGCACTGGCTGAAGTGGGAAGCTGCGGTCAGCGAGGAATTAGAAGTCCACACGAAGAACGAAACTTGGACTTTGACCAAGCTGCCAGGAGATAGAAAACCGATATGCGGTCGTCAAACTCGACACTTTGCATTCTGTCTGGGCGATTGCTTGTGGAAACAAAATGGTGGTGCATCAAATGGATGTTTGTACCGCCTCTATGGCCTTAAATAGGCATCTCGTGCCTGGAACAGCCGATTTCACAACTTCGTGGTGGACAATCTTGGCTTCAAGCAGAGCGCCAACGACCGGTGCTTGCACACCCTCGGATCCGGAGCGATTGGGGTGATTATGGATCTTTACGTGGACGACATATTGATTGCCGGAGCGTCGCTGAAAGCAGTCCAGATGGTGAAAGACTGTCTCTCAAAGGAATTCGAAATGAAGGACATCGGTGAAATCAAGTGCTTTCAGGGACTGCAAGTTAACTACGATCGGGCTGGCGGTGTGATGAAGATAACTCAGCGACACTATCTGGACGACTGCAAGCCGTGCTCAGCGCCCATCGAGAACCGCCTGAAGCTGCCGAAAGAATTGAACCGCGCAGCCGTTCAGGGAACTAGTTGGTTGCTTGTCATACGCAGCCCTAACCACTGACACCTAACGGACCTGACAGCGGCAGTGAACTTCTATAGCCAGTTGCAGAGTTGGCCCAGCGATGAGCACTAGACTCATCTGAAAAGAATGCTGCGATTCCACTTCCTGCGGGACTTGATAAATGATGGTTGCATCACTCTCAAGTTCCTACCGTCCGTCGAACAACCTGCGGACATGATGACTGCTGTGGCTGAGCAGGGGTGCTGAGTGTCCAGCCCCTTGCACTCAACAGTTTTGGTGTGACGATCTACCAGCGATTTAACAAAAGTCCATTCATTTTTTCTTTATTTTTTTCCGGACTCCATGAATAAAAAAAAAATGCAAATCAATGTTCAAAATCTAAAAATGTTTTCTATGTTTCAGAAGCATTTCAATTTGTCTTGAACTAAACTTGCATTATATATGTTCAAAATATCAAATTGGACCATAATTTCTAAAGTTCATCCCCAAATCTTAATTTTTTTTCGAGATCGAGATTTAAAGTCCTCCATTTTGGAAAATTTTGCACGTTCCAGTATAATGAGATTTTCCCTAAGTCTAAGTCCCAAAGTTATGATTTTTTCTTCTTCTATTTTTGAGGTGTTCAAGAAGTTTTTATATCCTAAATCTTTGAAAGTGATTGTCTGAAAATTGTCAAAATTTGTCTAAGCTCGAGACTTTAAACGTTTTTCTCGCATCCAGCAACATGTTTCAATTCTCATCAACATTTTGTGTTCAATCAATCTCGCGATCTGAACCTAAAATCAACTTGTATGAGATTGAAACATAAGTGCAATGTGTAGGAATACATGTTAGAATTTGACTTGCTTGTTAAATTAATACTGATTTTTCGAAGCATGAAAAATGTTCATAATAGGTTTCAGGGTTAGAAAGTACCTCAGAACGTTTGCAGAGAAACTGTTTACATGCATAGCACAGCACTTGGCAAAGAGAGTGTGGGTCTCCCATTTGCTTCGCACACTCTTTTTCAGCTTATCATCGAGAAAGCAATCCGCACAAATCACTCTCTGTGCGGTGCAGAGAGCTAATGAAATGCAAAAGACAACGTCTTCTTTGTCGTATTTGCTTACCGCGTAGGAATGAAGAAGTAGAGGACTATAAAGAATTTTGGACTTCGTCAGCGATGTCTATTTGGGGGTACACTTTTTGAAAACCAAAAATGGAACATGTAACAAAATTATGAAAGATTTTGAACGTTAATAATTCAGCTGGCCCTGGACCAATTTCAATAATTTTATCATCAATCGATCAGAAATATTTCTACGCATCTGCTAACTTTAAGATTTTATCATTTTTCAAAATGTCACTATTGAAAATTGCCCGAATGTGCAACTGTTGCTATGATAATTAAAATTATCACCGATTGCCTGCGAAAAGCGATTTCCCTAACACAGATTTCAATGTTGAATTCCATCCGGCAAGGTTGCAAAGACTCATTTCAGCTAAAATAATGTTTTTCGGAATAATAAAACCAAAAGATGGTATGATGGCATGTTTTACTTGTAACTTACAAGAAGAGGTTACAAATTATGCGTTGGAAACATAAAACCTGTAAATTTTGCTTTCTATGAGTCACAATCAGCGATTTGCTGATCGCTGAGTGAGTGAGTGAGTGAGTGAGTGAGTTTGTGAAAAATCGCTGATTGTGACTCTCATGAAGTGAAATAAACAGGTTTAATATGTCAAACACATTCTTTGCAACCTCTTCTTGTATCCTACCAATTCAAAATTTGATCATGGCATCTAATTATTTCATAATTTAGAAAAACATTGTTTTAGCTGAAATGAGCCTTTGCAACCTTGCCATCCGGTCTTACCAAACGGTGTTTATTCAATCACCGCGTGGTGAGTGGTACTGTTCTCCAGTACACAACGAAAGGCCCCCCGCAAGCAGCTAGCTATCAAGACTGCCCACAACCGCTGATCGGATTCAGTTCCAAGCACCATGTGTGGTGGTGTCCGGTCGTCGGCATCAGCAGCAGCAGTGTTTTCGGCGTGTGGCGTTGAACATTGTTTTTTTTTTATTTGGAAAGGAGCTTCATTTCAAAAGATTGCCAAGGGCACAGTAAACCCTCACTACGCCGCACTCTCACTAACCTCATTAACCAAATTGGAGAAGGCTGTGTAAAATTCTGGCGCTTAATGCAAGGTTTGGCGTTCATGAAGTCCTGCGGTCCTGGCTACGAGGTCAATACTAACTCACTGAAGCCCCTTTTCCCGAAGTTTATCGAACCTCTAGTCAAAGCGTAAGACCGGAAATTTCCTAGGTTCGAGTTCAGGGAGTTTCTTTAGCTTCAAAAAGTTATTGGAATTTTAAGAGGTTCCTAAAGTTTCAGCAGCAATTACTAGGGATCCGGTAGTTTCCGGAATTCTGAAAGATCCAGTAGTTACAGGAATTCTGAGAAAGATCATACAGTTCCGGAAACTCTCTCAAATGTTCTTGGAGTTCCGAAAGTTTAGCTTACTCCTAGTTCTTCCTCTCCGAAGTATCAGTCTTAAATTTCCGGAAATCAAATTATCTAAATTTGTTCAAGTCCTGCGAACCTGTCCTCGAGGTCCATTCCCCATTATATCTTTCACAACCCTTGTTTTCGAAGTGCATTGAACTAGAAAATTTCGGAAGTCCTGTGGCACTATCCTGAAAGTAGACTAGACCTGCCTTTAAGGTTTTCTAAGTGCGGCGCACCCTTCAAGTTTTCTGGTTTATTTATATCTATGAAACGATTACGGCACGTATTCATGGACTAGACTCGCTGAACTGCGGTGTTGAAGCACTCCTGCATGTAGAGGAATCCCCTGGGTGGACAAAACCAAAATAACATCATAAACAAGTAATACAATGTAGCCTTCCATACACCTCACACGGTAACCGTAATATACCAAATAATAACGACAAAGTAAGCATTGTCGTTGAAAACTGGGACTACCCATTAAATGAGTAAATTTTTACCAATTTATAAGTAACTTCAATTACAAAAATGAGCAGTAAATACTAAATATTCATTTATGGGTAACAAATACTCATGTGCAGGGAACTTATTTTCTCATTTAATGGGTATTTCCAGTTTCCCTCGAAAATGCCGTACTTTGTAGTCAATATTGAGTATTTTATAGTAGTAATTATTGTGTATTTTGCGGTTAGCGTGCACAGGACTAGTCGCCAAAACCGTATCTCCCGAGTCATCACATTTTTATCTGGAAGTCATAATCAGTCACGCTAGGCACATGCTTTTTAAGCGTCTGTCTGTGCGGTTAGCATTCCAACGACCAACTCGTTTGATACTATACAGTAACTCCTCCATATATGCGGTGGGTGGTACTCGGCTGTCCTTCAATCAATTACGCTGATGATTTTGTATATAAACTAGTTATCTACAGAAAATCCACTCAATTGGTTGCCGGACAGTCGAGAAATGGCAGTGGGTGGACGGTACAACCAACCGCATATATGGAGGGGTTACTGTATCTAGTTTGTCATTCGATGCTCTTGGCGCGGTTTTCAAACAATCAACTCGATGACGTTCTCCGCTGCGCCTTATTGACAACCAAGAGAGTATCACATCAAATCGCTCGCATTCCGATATCCCGATAAGTACCTATCCAGCGGTTGTTGTCAACGCCGCCATCAACTGAATGGAGACGCACACGGGCTGACGAATCCGTCTGGCCCTGTCGGTGTGTTTTGCTATCGGGTAACAACAATAAACGATTTAGTCAAAATATTTAACTTTCCATCGCGTCCGCGTCTCGCCGTTTGTTTATGCGTGTATATTTTTTCGTTCCTCAAATGCTCTTACCAGGGGAAAACTAGACTGGTCTGTGATTTGATTAGTCGTTCCAATGATGTAAACGATTAAATTGCATACCTATCGGGCGTAAATTTGCGCATTCTAGTCGGTGCCACACGAACCAGTCTGAGGTGTATTAATATCGCAATGGATCGATTTGCAACTCCGGCCTTTGGGGTGCGACTGGCTCCAGAAAGTATTGTTTTTACTGTACACAAACGGGCACATGACCTCGGCGCGGTCGTCGGTGGTGAAGGATTTATTTTCGGTCGATTACACGCGCGCACTTGTCTCTGCATGGTTCGCCGCGCTCGCAAATGCAAATATGTACCCACACTTGACTTGACCTCAATAGTTTGTTTCTGTTGCTCTTGAATCGGAAATTTAATTGTAACGCTTTCCTGTCTCTGTTTTTCATTTTTTTTTTGCAGATGCCCTGGACGCTTTCACCGAGCTCAAGGAGGAACGGTCGGAAATTCACATCGAACGCACATCCGCCGGGCTGGGGTTGAGCATAGCGGGCGGTAAGGGTTCCACACCGTTCAAGGGCGACGACGAGGGGATTTTCATATCCCGTGTCACCGAGGGTGGTCCGGCCGATCTGGCCGGGCTGAAGGTGGGCGATAAGGTGAGTTTTTTTTCTACTTGCAGCGAGTTGACTGGTCGTCGGTCAAACTGAAAAGGTTGGGAAAAGTGTGGATGAGGCATGAAATGAAGTTCATTCTAGGTTTTTCTAACTACTTAGAAAGTCGAAGAGCCTTGAGTAGCGTCCTTCCTATAACCATTCGACCACCGTCTCCCAAACACGTCGTATTAATATTCTACGGAACACTCACAAGTTCACTCGTATCTATATCCTGCCGTTGTTTGCATCCTTGCCATCCCACAGGTACTCAAAGTAAATGGTGTCTCGGTGGTGGATGCTGACCACTACGACGCAGTGGAGGTGCTAAAAGCCTGTGGTTCGGTGCTGGTACTCTTCATATCCCGGGAGGTGACACGTCTAATTGGTCATCCGGTGTTTGATGAGAGTGGTTCGGTAGCGCAAATCAATGTTGTCGAACAGCAGCAGCAGCATCAGCAACAGAAGATGATTCCTCCCCCGATTACAGTGGCCGTCGAGCAGCCACTCATGGAAGGCATAGCAGGAGGAGGAGGAGGAGGAGGCGGCGGTGACGGTGGGGGTATCAGTGAAGCGTTGCATTCCTCGTATAACACCGTTGGACTGCCAAACGGGAATGCCGGTACGCCGATGCCGACGACGGTTGGTTTGCTGAACGGAAATGAAATCACCCACAAGGTTATCCTGCACACGACGCTCATCCGGGACCAGATCGGACAGGGGCTCGGGTTCAGTATAGCCGGTGGTAAGGGACATGCACCGTTCAAGGACGGTTCGGAGGGAATCTACATTTCCCGGATAACGGAGGCCGGGGTGGCCCACAAGGACGGGAAGATCCTGGTGGGCGATCGCGTGCTAGCGGTGAGTTTGCTTTTTCTAATAACAATAGTTTAGGAATGGTGGTTAAGATGTATGAAAATTTCAATGAAACAGATCAACGGAGTGGACATTACCAACGCCCACCATGACTACGCGGTGCAACTGTTGACCGATCATCAGCGGTTCGTACGATTGGTGGTTCAACGGGAGGTGAAAGGTCCATTGGAGCCACCGACCAGCCCTAGGAGTCCCATGCTGAAGAATTTGAATCCCAGCGGGTACATGGCCAATCGACCAGGTAAGGGGTCCTACCATGAAGACGCCTCGAGTAAATTATGATTACTAATTCACAATCTACATCTTTCCAGCTTATTCCGGCTATCGTCGTTCCATTGACGAAACTCCGGAGGCGCATCATCCCGCGGGTGAAGTCCCAGTTCAGCAAGCCACCCCTCAACCCGAAGTGCAACAGCAGCAGCAGCAGCAGCACACCACGGTGACCCACAAGGTAAATGGCAACAATTACCATTCACAGCACATTTATGTCAGCAATAGCATACCCACCATCACCTCACCCGTATTTGTTCAGCAATCATCTACATCACAAGAACAAAAGCAAATACAGCAAGACTCATTTGCACAACCATCATCACATTTATCGCAACAGCCGCACATTCACACCCAGCCGGCAAGCGTGGAACAGCATCAGTTGAAGTCCTCATCGCAACCGCAGCAACCTCCATTACCTGCCCCTCGCAAAGTATTATCGCCCCAGACGTCCGTAAATAACGGCAATGGTAGTAGCCCTAACAACAACAACATCAACAACAACAACAACGTCATCAGCAACACAAACGGTAGTAGTAGCACTCATACCAGCAACATCAACAGCATCAACAACAACTATCAGCAACCGACGGAGACGGATGCAACAGTAATCAATGGTACAAGCAATAACAGTAGTATTGTAGCAAAGACAAACAGTGAGGATTCGCAGGTGAGTTTTGTCCACTGTTGTTGCCCCACGAAAGTCGATCATACTATAGCTGTGTAGTTTTTGTTTCTATTTGCACTCTCACAGTCGTTTGTGGTTTCTTAATCTGAGTGCTAAAGGATGAGAGTTTTTTCGTTTTGTAATTTTTGCCCCCTCCCTATGCACGATGCATTGCTGATATCAACAATAACCGAACTCGTGTTTATTAATCCATTATTGCTCGAATTTAGAGACTTTGTATTAATACCTTAACCCATTATTTCATTGTGTCCTTTTTCTCTTTTTTTCTCTCTCCCTTCCCATTGTTTTTTTTTTCGTTTTTATTTTTCATGATTGCCACGTGTTTTGTATGTTTCCCGTTCCTCCTCGCTCCTCTGCTCCGAAATGCATTTGAACAATCGTAAAACAAAACAACAACAACCAAACCGAACCTATTCGTAAATGTGCGTCCCGGTATTGGCTACTTCCTGTGTGCACCCACGTCAAAATCCTCCCACACTTTCACATCGATATAAACACCCACACACACACGAAAACAAACTCAAACCCATCCCCGGAATGCGACGGTGTCAAAACGGCAAACCAAAACAGGGACCGCTGCGGCCCATGACCAGCGCCGATTTCCAGGCGATGATCCCGTCGCACTTCATCAGCGGAGGAGGAGGCCGCCAGGTGGTGCAGGTGGACAAGTCCGCCGGGGGTGCGCCCCACCAGGACACGGTGACGGTGACAGTGCAGAAGGCCGTCCCGGATATGCCCATGCTGCCGCCAGCGCCCACCGAGCTCGGTACCGTCACCGAGACGATCACAAAGTCGACCTTTACTGAGACGGTAATGACTAGGGTTACTGACAATCGGTTATTGGAACCACTAATCAGTGAGGTGAATACCGTTTACTGTACTTTTCTGAATTGAGAATAGTTCGCCGATACCTTTTACTAGTGTCATACACAACCACCGAAAATGAGTACACACAATCTTTCTCTATATTGTTGTGCCTATCTCTCTATCTCTCACAATCTCAGTAGCTTATCAACTTTGTCACACACACTTTGTCACCTTTTATGTTTCCTTTGGAGCTTTATTTGTCGTATTTATTGCAATTCCAAAATTCGCTGCATTTGTGTTAATATTCTGTTTGTTTGTTTTTTTAAATTGTCTTCCTAGATTTTCTTTTCTGTTTGTAATACTCATTTTCTTATACTTTTTGTTTTTTTTGTTTTCACGTTTCTCAATGGCAATTACGAATAGCATTTTAATCAAGGCAGTACTCTATTGGTGTGTGGTTTCAGTTTCAACCGTTTGTAATTTTAGGTCGTAGGATTTAGAATAAGTAGTTTTTAGGCGAAGCTCGATCCTGATGTTTCTCATGCAAACTGGTCAGGATGAAGATCCCAAGTAACTATTTGGGTTTTATTAGGGTTCTGTAGACCATGATTTAGACCTGTAGTATGCTATAAAACCTCATTAAAACTTGCAATGGTGCTTGGGATAAGAAACAGCTGTGCAAAAAATTCCGCAATTGAGGTTTCTAAAAAGACTAAAGAAAAAAGCGTTTTTTAGGAGGGTCAATGAAGTTATTTTAAAGTTCATAACAAATTAATCCACCTAGTGAAAATCGGAAATTCGATAGTAACCTCCAAATATTTTTGTAAATACTCGATTTATTTTAACAGTAATGGTCAACAAAATGAAAGTAAATCGATGCTAAAGTTTGCTGTTCCTATCATAAATGGAAACCTATTTTGATTTCAATTGTTGTGACATAAGTCTGATATCATATTAAGCTTTCATTATGCAGTTTTTTTTTAATTGAAAGCAACTTAACTTCAAGTTTTAATGTTATTGTCTTGTTGGAAATTTAATATAATGTTGTCTGTCGTTGAACTAACGATTATTTAGTTGAAGATGCTAATTTCAAATAACAGGCTAAAGTGGTATTTTTTATACGATAGATGAGGAGATGAAAATATAGAGTTGATAGTTCCTTAGAGTACATCAGTATGTCCCCTCGAGGTCATCAAGTCGACAATGACAGGAGCACATACCGTGGTAAAGCTAACAATAGCTGCAATTTCCAAACCTACGACTGGATTCCTTCCTTCCGATAACAACTAGAGTGCGGTACAATCGATAGAACTGTTTCAAACACATCGTCGGTACATGAGCGAGTCGGCGATCATCTCTTTTTACCAGTGTAGGCGGGGGGAATACCCCTCACCATCCCTCTCCAACGGGGGAGTTTGGTAAAAAGAGATGATCAAACCGATTTGTACCTTTCTTAAAAGTTGTCCTTGCTCGCTTTCTACTCTCTATATACAATTTTCACACTGCCGTACTGTAACGGAACTATCAACTCTATACTTTCATCTTCTCATCTATCGTATAAAAATTACCACTTTAGTCTGTTATTTGAAATTAGCATCTTCAACTTTGTAAATCGTTAATTTCACGCACAAATGCAATAGTTAAAGTAACGATTATTATTTATTTGTTTATTTAACACCGGGGTCTGGGGTGAGATTTGAACTCAAGTCTTTCAGCGTGAGAAGCATGGATACTAACCACTAAGGCCCGTATTCAGTTAAATATTATGAATGCAAAATCAGTAATCATATTTATTGTATTTAACCCTTCAGTTCTCAGAAGTTTTTTGGTTGATTTGAGATGCAACAACGCATTTTTCTTATAAAAAGTACTTGAACAAGTTTTTGTTTTAAATCAATAGTGAGTCATTCTCGTTGAAATCAGGCCGCCAGTGACACATGGTCTTTAAATATTAAAATATATCCGCTTAATTGGTCGAAACTGATAGGAAAATGCCTTTGCCACTTCCTTAGCTCAAATTAATGGACCCCTCGCTCGCCAAGGGGCCTTACAGTTTTCAACAAAGTTGAATTTCTAGCAATTCTTGACATATTTATCATGTTAAATCTTTAGATTTCATATGGAACCCTCCTGCAACATTTTATTGTGAAGAGAAAGGATAGAGCATTCATTCGGAATGGAAACCATGTGTCAACGGCGACCTGATTTCAACGAGAATAACTCAGTATGCTAATTGTTTTTCATTAGAGCCTTAGTTGAATCATCTAGAATACATATGGACCAGAATGATGAGCACACGGGAAAGCTTAAATGAGTACTGGCTATTTAGTGGCAGATTGAAAAACATGAGACGAACCGAAAAGTTGTGGATCACCCGTCCAACAAAGTAACTTTCAATCGAAAATCGTCAAGCGACGACGAAGCTGTCAACCATTTTGATGCTACAAAAATCGCCAAAAATGCATTTTTTTTTTCACTTCAGTTGTACCACAAAAAACACCCTAAACGCATTCCGTTCCCGTTATTGTCATTATCTACATCTAGGGGACATTCCACAGCAATTTTCTAGAATGGTTAGAAGTGGTTCTGAACTCGTTAAGGGTGCCATTTTGATGCTACAAAAATTGCCAAAAATGCATTTTTTTTTTCACTTCGGTTGTACAACAAAAAACACCCTAAACGCATTCCGTTCCCGTTATTGTCATTATCAACACCTACGGGACATTCCACTGCACCATCCTGGAATGGTTAGAAGTGGTTCTGAACTCGTTAAGGGTGCCATTTTGAAATCCAAGATAACAGCTTTCGATGTCAGAAAATTGAAAAATACTATAAAATACCCCTTAATATATCAATCGGGATGATGTCTAGGGGCAGAAAATTGATGACCGACGCCATTTTGAAATTCAAGATGGCAACTTCAGATTTCAGAAAAAGTGGGAAATACTATCAAATACCCATTAACATAAGTATTTTTGGAATCGGTATGACGTCTGTAGAATGAAAATCGATATGCGACGCCATTTTTAAATCCAACATGGTGGCTTCCGATTTCAGAAAAAGAGGAAAATACTGTCAAATACCCATCAATATGGGTATTTTTGGCATCGGGATGACGCCTAGAGGTCGGAAATCGATGACCGACGTCATTTTGAAATCTAAGGTGGCGGCTACAGATTTTATAAAAAGTGGGAAATACTATCAACTATCCAATAATATGGGTATTTTTGGAAAAAAAATAAGCGATGCCATTTTGAAATCGAAGATGGTGGCCTCCGGTTCAAGAAAAAGTGGGAAACACTGTCAAATGCCCATCAATATGGGTATTTTTGGCATCGGGATGACGCCTAGAGGTCGGAAATCGATGACCGACGTCATTTTGAAATCTAAGATGGCGGCTTCAGATTTTATAAAAAAATATCGGTATTTTTTAAATTATTTTTGGGGTACCATCTAGATATTGGAAATAGATAAGCGATGCCATTTTGAAATCGAAGATGGTGGCTTCCGGTTCAAAAAAAAGTGGGAAACAATGTCAAATGCCCATCAATATGGGTATTTTTGGAATCGGTATCCGATGCCATTATAAAGTCCAACTCAACATAAGTCGGCTAAGAAAAAGTGGGAAATTCTATCAACTACCCATCTAGGTATATGTTTTTTTTTTTAGAATCAGAGTAACGTCTATTTAGAAGCCGGAAATCGGTATCCGAAACCATGTTGAATTCTAAAACGGTGGCTTCTGCTTTCAGAAAACGTGTCAACAACCTTAAAATATGGGTATTTTAGGAACTTGAAATCCAAGATGGCGACTTCTGGTTTCACAAAAAGGGAGAAATACTTTAAAATACCCATCAATATGGGTATTTTTTAAATCCCAGTAACGTTTAGAGGCCAGAAACCGATGCCCGATGCCATTCTAACACCTAAGATGAGGGTTTTGGTTCAGAAAAAGTAGAAGGGTCTGTGCCTAGGGGCACGAACGGAAGCTTGACGTAGGACCGCTAGTGGACGGAACAAATGTGTAGAGCAGTTAGTTTTTTTAATTGATCGATCATCTATTATCTTCAGGGCTGTCATCTGATCACTCAATGCATGTACTGATTTTCTGAAATAGGCAAAGTGAGAATCAAGCAAACACAAAGTTTGCTTGTCTTTCACCCTGCGCAAGTGTAAAGCAACGAAGAAGAGAAGACAGACACACACCCAGAAATAACGAAAGCTCAATGAGTAGCCATCGCTCCGACGACTCCGACGCAAAGAGCGCCACTCAGTGTAGGGTTGCAAATGAATTTTTGCAAATTGAAGCAGAATAACCAAGTGGTACTCGATTATGACGACTGGGTTGGAGAAGAACGTTTATTTCATAACGAAACAGTGATAAAATTATCACCTTTTATTTTTACATTGGACAATGCTTGACATTACCACTTTTTCAATAGTTTCTTGTTGAAAACCATCAGTCGGGAGCAATACTATTGATGCGTCGAAATATTTCTGATCGATTGGTGATAAAATTATTGAAATTGGTCCAGGGGCAGCTGAGTTATTAATGTCCAAAATCTTTCATAATTTTGTTACATATTCCATTTTCGGTTTTCACAAAGTGGTATCCCTATATAGAAATCACAGACGTAGTCCTACGTCAAAAGTGTGAAACTCCAATCAATGTGTGAATTTTTGGAATCGGGGTGACATCTAGAGGTCGCAAATCGATGTCCGACGTCATCTTGAAATTCAAGATGGTGGCTTCCGATTTCAGAAGAAGTGTCAAATACCCTACGAATGCCGTCGAATATCAATTTTTAGCATCTACGTGTCGTGCCCGTTCCGAAATGCCCATATCTTATAGTATTTCACATTTTTCCTAAGCCCGATGGCCGCCATCTTGCAGAATGGCGTCGGACATAGATTTTCTTCACCTTCCGAAAATACTCATATTATAGGGTATTTGAGATCTTTCCTGAGCCTGATGGCCCCCATATTGGACTCCAGAATGACCTCGTTATTTTAATTTTCGTTTAATATAAAATAACAATTTATTACTTCATATA